GCGTTGTTTGAGTTATGTCGCATGGTTGGATTCTAAAGCCATCAAAAGAATCAATTTTGTGATTTACTGCTACAATTAAAAATTGTCCCAGTAAATGCCCAAACCCTACAGAACTGGTGCCTTCAGAGAGCCACTACATTACATTTTGGCTATGGCAACGTTACAATAATATACTGGGAAATTGTCATGACCACCAGCCAGCGGAGATCATCTCGCAAAGGAACTAACCAGTACCAGCAGCGCGTTTATAATAACAAGCGCGCCGCACGTTTTAATCCATCAGCACACGCTCTACCGTGCGGCAAGCAGCACTATTTAAACCGTCCTAACCTGCTTCCCGCTGCTCGGTATTGAGTTTACTCCCCGAGAGCTCTACCTGGTGATTACTAAACCTTGTGTCAGACCAACCATGTACAGCTTGAACTGAACTGACAAGATCAAGTTAGATGGTGCTTGTTTGTGAGATGGAAGTAGTGCTCTTACTGCCTATACATAGTGGTTGCTCTTTTCTGTTCTGTGCTGCTCACAATATTTGATATTTCAACAACCATGAAAAATTAGCAGAAAAAAAATTAATATGGGGATAAGTACTACCAGTAACTATTTTTTCAGTAAATTAATTATTAACACTGTATTTTAACCACATTTCAGCAAGATAGTGACACAAAGTGCAGGTTTAAAGATACTCTGGAGTGTCTTCTATGAAAGTATATTTCTTTGGGTGGTTAATTTCCAAATGTGAATACCATTGAGAATTTGACTTGAACATTTCTGTCTAGAAGTGTTACCAAAGCAACTTGGGAGTGTTTGAGCAAACATGCCAAGAAGAATACACAAAAATGTGTCAAGTCAGTGTGCAAACTGGCAAAGACTTATTGTTATCATGATTATTTTACAAGGCAGTGCATATAATCTGTTAGACACTAGATATAATTGGAGAATTTTCTTCATTAACCATTCACTAATTTATTTATTTTTGTACAGTATATAAGGCCTGGGGGTGGCACAGTGATTAGCATGGCTGCTTTGCGTGGTTTGATTCCTGGTGTGCTATCTGTGTGGAGTTTGCATGTTTTCCCTGTGTTCATGTAGGTTCTCTCGCACAGTCCAAAGCCATACTTGTAGATCAGTTGGCTTTTGACAGAAATACCTGAGTGTGTTTGTTTGTGTTTTAGTCTTTGTGTGCCCTGTGATGGACTAGCATCCCATGCAGGATGTAACCTGTCTTGCAAATGTTGCTTGCCAGGATAGGCTCTGTCTCTCCCGTGAACCTGTATGTTACTCGCATAGAAAATGGATGGATATAAGGCCATAGGTTTGCTGTTGAATAATGATAACCAACAATACAAATAACTTTCTTTTTTCATTTATACACTGAGAAAACCTTATTTTGAAAACAGTAAAAAGAATACTCACAGGAACTCCTTGTGCGGATATCTTTTCCACATAAGCAAACTGATGGACAGCGAAACATACCAAGTAAGTACTCATTGGAACAGACATCTGAAAAGTTGTTTTTGTCAAGCCATTCTGAAGGGGTGTGGTACTCTGAAAATTAAAATAACATTCCAAGTTATTGAGGACCTAATATTCTTATTTTAGGATTTAAGTTAAAAAACAACAGGGCAAGATACATTGTGTTTCAAGGCTAGGGGAAAAAGTAATGTCATTAGGCCTTAAAATCAAAACTTTGTTTCTTTAATTAGAAAACGTTTACTTCTTTATAAGACTCACTCCTTTGTGGTATCTTCATATATAACTCCGTGGACAGGGACACGGAGTTCTATTAAATTTTCCAATTGTGGCACATAATATGCTTATAATACATTATAATATATATATATAATCTGCCTATAATATGTTGATGAATTATATTTTTCTTCTCTTCTGAAATTTATGACTGGAGTTTTTTAAAATTATTCATTAGTAAAGATGTGCAAAACCTTAATGAAATAAATAGCCAGTGTAATATATATAGTTTGTCCATCTCTTTATAATGTTATATTTCAACTGAAGGAATATTAATTTTAAGAACCTGCTGATTCTCATCACATGTTGATTCTCTCACATATTACAGGTATTACCTCTTCTGGCATATTGGACAGAGCTTTGTAGGAGCTATCATGTGTTATGGAAATGCTATAAGTTGCTTTTTTGTTGGGCTCATCAAAACAAGGAAATGATTTCCGAGCATCTGTGGGTTCATGGTCCGTTGCAGCTATCTTCCTAAAAATGAAAATAAAAATCAAATGAAAAAACGAAAACAAAATTATGTATAAATAAAGAGAATTCCCACACAAAACTAAGTACATTTGATGTAGTTTTTTTTAATGTTATGCAATATATATCATGCAACAGATAGCAGACATAAACAAAATAGAATATAGGGGCCTGACTATGCTTATGGGTAGAACAGTGGTGAAGTGGTTAGCATTACAGCCTTGCACTAAGGCCCTGGGTTCAATTCCAAACCTGGAATCTGTGTGGAATTTGAATATTTTCCCTGTGTGTGGGTTTTGTCTAGGAGCTCTAGTTTCCTCCCACAGTCTATAGATCAGTCCATAGAGTTAACTTGCCTTGCATCCATTGCTTTCTAGGTTAGGCTCTGGCTCTCCCACAACTGTGTTTAATAAAGCAGTGACTGTGTTTGACAAAGCAGTTAGAAAATGGATGGATTTTGTTCGTACTATTTGGTTTGAGGCTAACATTCACGGACAAACATAATATTTATGTGGTGGACCCAGCTGGGATGTGAATATTGGACAATATCAGTGCAATTTGAGTTCATAATTTTATTCTGGCAAAACCCTGTTCCAGTAATTTATTTCAGTAATGACTATATTTTGACATGGAAATAAAACAGAAAGGCAAAATATTTAATGAGTCTAAAAGGATCTCCTAAAATCATCTTAATTGTACGTTTGTGAGCATTACATTACCTTTTGAAATTCTTTTTCACAAGGCTTGGTCCAACATACCTCTTCAGAGATATTTAAAATTGATAGATGGGTTTTTTATTTATATTTTGTATCACAGAGAAAGTAACACAAATTTAACATTTGTATTTTTATTTACACATCTGTAACTGGGATGATAGTAATTAATCTTTAATTTCATTTTGGATATTTGTGCTGACAAAAAGGTCAGGCACAACTAGACTTCACCGTGAGGGAAAGTGACTAAACAAAATACATATTTTACTAATAAATATTACATTAGATAGGAAATAGTGGTTCGCTAACAGACAGGTTAAAGGAAAACAAATCATGTAAATTGCCTGAAACCATGTGGGGCTACAAAATTGTATTTCTTTAAACATACTTTTATTGTAATATTAATATCATACTTCCCTGACATGCTTACAACTTTAAAATAGTTTGATAAATTAAAGAAATATTCAAGCTATTCAGACTGTTGATTTGGCATTATATCACATTTCATTCGTGGGTATAATGATTGAGGAATGATGATAAGGGACAGAATCCATAAGAACGCATCTGTTAATGACAAATCTTAATCAACATAATTAATTTACCTAGTTAGATCTGACTGCTAGAGTACTTGAGTATGTCTCGAAAAGTTTTTGTAAGCATGCTGATGACATGAATATTAAATATCTAACAAAAATACTTTGTATCAACATACATACTGGTTAATGGACAGACCTGCTGACTTGCTGTTATAGCCATTTGCTATGGTTCAACACTTGGTTAACTAAGACACTTTTGGGCTAATGAACAGACATATTAGTTTGCCCAGAAACAAGTTTGGTACGTTCAGATGATGTGGAAGATGTGGAAAGGAATATCGTTAATCTATTAATTTAATATTTTACACATTTATCAAGGAGAAACTGGTGAAGAGCCTCAAGTTGATGAAATAAAACTTTGCTATATTAAATCACGGTGCAAAAGATAATAAAGTGTTACTGGTACTTATTCTGGCAATTGTATTTAAGTAAATGAGACATGTTAATTATAGATCTTTTTTAACAGCCACACATGGGAATACATAGTTCCCTGAAATTGCAAATACTGTATATCTTGTATCCACAAAAAGACTAAACAAACCCAGTCATGTAAATAACTCTAACGTCTATTTCATGTAAAGTTAGGCAATTCTAATTAACTATACTTAGAGGATTATGTGTATAATTATAAGATCCTAGGGATTTAAAAAAGGAAGGTCTTTCCTAACTAATCTATTACAATTCTTTGTGCTCTCAGGAACTATTTTAAGACAGTATTTTTTTTTTCTGTATAAAACACATTTCATGCTGTATTTAGCTCTTTTTATGGATTGTGATTTTCTATGTAGTCTATAGACAAATAAAGCATTAACATTCATTGTAACAGAGATGTTGGGTTGGATAGTATCTGCCAAGGTTTTCAGTGGCACTGAAGGAGTTCAGTCAGGGGTGAAGATAAACTCATCAGAAGCAAATGACAGCATGAGTCCTTGGCATTAAACAGAGAGACCAACTCTCTGCCCATGGTAAGAAAAGGAAACTTCCCTTGGAAGCAGACAACAGTGGCAGCTGTTCCTCTTAGCCTTATAGCCCCAAGTTTACACTGGGGTCACATAGACCTCCCACCTACATTTGTAGATAAGGTTGCATTCAGGGAGAACAAGAGTTACTGGAAGCAGGCAACGGTGAGCACCATAATCATAATCACCTGACCAACTGATGAAAGACAGCTGATCAGGTAACAGTTATAAACATGGGGCAGAAGAGTTCAGAAGCACTGCTTTGTACGGCACAGTAGGAAAAGGCTGCTGAAGGAAGTGACTGACAGATAATTCCTGATATTTAGAAGCATGAGTTTTGGAACAGAAAAACACACTGTTGTCTGGACTCCAGAAAGAATCTCAGCTACCCAGTTTTATTGAGAAGTGATTAAAAACATAGTAGCTCAAAGAGAAGATTAGGGTGTTGTTTTGGAGGGTTTGTGTTTTCTTCAAACAGTAAATAAAGAACACTGTTTTGTACTTCAAGGTAGTATTTGTGTCTCTGCTTTCCTGAGACCTTCCTTTTTAAAAAAAATCTGTTATGACACCCCATTCCCGCATATGCTACGTACTGTATGGTGAACGATGCTTTCTTGGGGAACAGCTCACTCATGTGGATGGTCGGTAACAGTGCAAGAAAAATTTGAAAAAACAAAACACAATGGAGGATCTGATTAAACAATTATTCAAGTCAACTCTGAACTAACATACAGTAAACAATGACAGAGAGCAATATCCTGTTGGTAAAGAAATTAAAATAATTTCAGAAGGCAAAAAGTCTCAAAAGGAAGATAGAGAGAAGAAATTGGAGCAGGAAAATTGCAGTACACGAATGCAGACCTGATAATGGCTGTACCAAATGCCTAAGAGTTCAGTTCAAAATGAAAGAAAAGGCAGACCATATTTGAGTCTACTGAGGGAAAGAATATGTCTCCTATTTTAGAGGAAGAGAATGACTTCCATTTTCCAAAAGTGTGGAACAAGCACATATTCAGACCATATGGAGTGGGAAAGGTGAATGAAGGGAAATGAGCTGCTATGCTCTAAGCAAGAACTGAGACAGATGCCCTGGTCACCTGACAGTTGAAAGCAGGCAAAAGCTGAGATGGAGATGCTTTCATTAAGCAAGCATCAAAATTGCCACAGAGCCGGGTGGGAAGAATGAGAGCTTTCAGGCTACTGAGCAGCAAAGGAAGAGACTGTTCTTACTATACTTCTAACAAAGTACTTCTTACTTTGAGAAACAGATTAGCCAACTGCAGCCTAGCCAGCCTGGACAGCAAACACATCCTGCAGAAGCATCTGGACGAAGTGTGTGAAGAGCTGAGGCACTCCCAGTGCAACAGTAATTACAGTACCTGCAGACATAGCTGGCAAAGGTCAAGCAAGAGATGATTTTCTTCACTGAGCTCCAATACAGAGTGTCCAAAGATTCTAAGCCAGACTGTTACAAAATTACTAAACCTGATGGTGAAAGAGACAGGGGAGTCATATAGTTAGATAAAGGCAGAGAGTGAATAGTACAGAAGTCTTCTGTCTGAGAAAAAGAAGACAGGTTAAGGAACTTAGGAGAAATGTAAAGTATATATGGAATGACAAAATAGCTGAGCCTGGCACAGCTAAAAGGGGGTTTAGATTTTCAGAGTAAATTAGTAATGACCAAGCTAAATGTGCAGAAACAGAGTGAGGAACTAGCTTTGCTCAGTCAGCATCTGAGAAAGAAAGAGTCCTCTCAACAGCACTGTGTAACAAAAGTACCCACAGTGGAAGGAGAAGTAGCTTCTATAACCAGAGGTGGTTGATATGCCTTGGCCTGAACATTGAGAAGAGGAAGGAGGTGATGAGTTGCCTTTGACACCTTGGACAAAGGGTAAGAATACATCAGGACAGAGAAGGGACCATCAGAGTGCCTGTTGCTGGAGTTACTACAAAGATGCCTGATGAGGTATATGATGATGTCTGGCTGCTGCAGACTTGGCAAGAACCAGTAGTCAGGCTGACAATGAAGAAAGAAGAGGTGAATCTGCCAGATATTCCAAATTCTGGAAAAGAGGAAGAGACAGAGTTGCCATAGGCCTATGCAGAATTGAAGGAAGAGAAGGAGTGCCACTTTCGCCAAAGAGAGAAAGATTGCTAATGCTATGAGTATAGGTAGTAAATGAGAAAAGACCTTTTATTGTTGTCAGGGTTCCTAGATGGGACATACCAGGTGGAACGTGTCCTTTTGTCACATCTACCCTTCCCTGTATCTTCTATGACTCGGTAGGAAAGGTGGCCATGGAGTGGAAGATTTTCAGTCAGCTAAAGGCCTTCCTGCTGAGGGAGTTAGTATGTAATGGAACAGTAGTTGAAACAAGATGGAGAGTATTTGAAACCACTTTCCCAAGAGGGCTATGAGCAGTAACCTACTTAATTTTAATAAAGAACACCGTTTTGTACCTTACTGAATTTATGTGACTGTTATCCTGAAACCCACCTATTTAAATATCCGTTACAGTACCTCAGCCTGGGCATGCCGCAACACATAAAAAGAATTGTGGGTATGTAAATGGAAGTGAAAAACATCACTACTAGGTCATTTTGTATTCATTGTTGTGTGCTTCCTACAAAATGAGTAGCAAAAGGTTTGGAATACTTCCAGTGAATACAAGATGTGCACAGGGTAGGCACTAAGTGACAGGCATTGTTTCTTTGTTTTGCATTGCACCTTCCTGTTT